CCTAGTTCCGCCTTTACACCTTTGATGCAGTTTTTACTCGTGCGATGGCGCTGATGTTCGTTTGAGACCCATTCACCATCTGATCACACTGTGACCTTTGGCAACAGGATACAACTAAATTATCTTTGTTCACTTCGATGGTTTATGGATCTCTTTCATCCTTAGCATGATTTTCAGCGCAATATATTTCTCTTCCCTTCCTAAGACGTCACCTTCCTCTTTTTTAAACTCTCTTCATCTCTTGCGCTCATTTTCCTTTTAGGAAGCTGACCTTCCCGCTCTAATCTTCTGTCGACGTTCAATCGTCGCTCATTGCTCATCTGCAGTTTTCTCGACATTTTGCGCTCTCTCCCGCCTCGCTCTCCTACTCTAATGCTGTTCTTTCCTCTGGAATTACACCGCCGCTCGTTTTGCTTTCGGCTGCGTCTTCACCCGCACTCCTACACCAATCTGGTTTCCCCCCCAGTTCCGCCTTTGCACCGTCGATGCCCTGTTTACTCGTGCGATAACGCTGATGTTCTTTTGAGCCCTATCGCTGCAATCTTCTGACGAGATACAATCGTTGCTCATCGCTCATCTGCAGATTTCTTCACATTTTGCTCTCTCACCCGCCACGCTCTCATACTCTAATGCTGTTGTTCTACCCTAGAATTACACCGGTGATCATTTGGATTTTGGCTACCCCTTCACCCACATGGCCCCACCTACACCAGTGTGATTTTCCCCCATGTTCTGCCTTCACATCTTTGATGCCCTGTTTACTCGTAAGATAGATTACTCGTAAGAGCTGATGTTCTTTTCAGTCCTATTCACCATCTGATGTCTCATCTATACTGTGACCTTCAGCCAATGAAAACAACTAAATTATTTTTCTACATTACGATGGCTTAAGGATTTCATTCACCCATAGCATGATTTTCACCCCAATATAATCCTTTTCCCTTTCTAATACGTTATTTGCCTCTTTTTAAAACTCTCTTCATCTTTTGAGCTCATGTTTTTTTTTATGAAGCTGACCTTCCCGCTCTAATCTTCTGTCGACGTACAATTGTCGCTTATCTGTAGCTTTTGTGACATTTTCCTTACTTCTCTCTCTCTCTCTTTCTTCATTTATCGCTCTCTCGGAACCATACTACAAATTGAACTTTTGCATCCGGTCTTGTCTTTCTCATTCACGTCTCACTATCCATCGTGCTTTGCCCAGCGGCCCCAGCTGCATCCAGTAGCAAGCAGCATTTACCGCAAGAGCGCGGCGATGGTGTAACTGTTAGCGTATCGAACAGTTATACCCAAGTTGGCGGGTTCAAACCCGATCGAAGCCGTGAATTTTTAAGGGCGAAAAAATCATTCGTACACCTTCCTTCGGAGGGAAAGTAAAGCCGGATGTCCCATACTTGCATGTATAAGATCCTCAATCCTAAATGACGCCTCTGAGCTAAATTCGCATCGCCTGTTTTTCGCCCAAGGAATTCGTCCTTTCTCTGCTAGTTGGTGAAAGGAGCGTAGCAAAATTTGTGTGGTCAGACGGAAGAGCGGGACTGAAGGCCCGAGTCTTGCCACGTAAAATAAGGCATCAATTCAATTCAATTAAATTCAATTCAAGAGCAGCAGATGCCCTGCCTGCATCAGCCACTCTAATCGCCCTTCTACCCGCGCCGCTCTACTTTTCTACTGTGGTTATTTTCTCCTCTCAGACGCTCCCTTTATTTGATGAAACCTCCTAGACCAATTTGATTGTTCACGTCCAGGTAGCCTTCCAGGCTCGCCTTTACTGCCCTCTTTACCTGTGTCATTCCTATAGTGCTATTTTCAATCACAAAGGTCTCCTTGGTCTAAATGATCTTTCTTCACTGAAATGGTACGTTGTCGTTGTGGTACCCCTTGACTGCGATACTCTCCATTTCTTGTACGACGCTCGCTCTTTCATTAAAAGCCTTCTGGATCTCACGACGGTTGACGACCTTATCATTTCAACATTCTATCGACGTACACAGTCGTTGCTTCTAGCTCTTCTATTACTTTCTTATTATTTTCTTCTTCTTTTATTCTTTTTACCGCATAGAATGCTTTTAGTATTTAAATTTTTCACCAGGTCATTGATATGCCGAAAATGATTCCAATTAGGTTTCAATTTTTGGTAAGAAAACTGTCAAAACATAATTATAACAAAACTACTTTAAAGAATATTTATTGAAAATACAATTATTGAAGTTGTAGGAAGTTGTGTTTTCCATGTCGGGGTTAAATGAAAGTATTTCAAATCAAAGACGCAAAGCTGAATTAGCACCGGTATTACACTACTTTGAATAGATCTCATACACGTGTCTGCTCATTAAAGTATTTTTACTGTATAGTTTTGGCTATTTTATACTCTTTGTATTTTTACCATTGAATGTAATAGCCAATTTTTTCAAAACAATTGTATTTTCTTCATTTGCAGTTTGCACTCTTAATTTGTATTTTTTCTTCACAAAACTCTAGAAACTGCTTTTACTCACTTCTTCTATTTCTTTTGCTGTTATTCAACATTGAAGCTCTAATATTACATTAAATTTGAGAGTTTTAAAGATTACCAAAACGACTCATTTTAATATTATATTAATACAACCTATTGTGGACATTAAACAAATTCTATTGATAACAACAAAAAGATAGAGTGATTACAGCTGAGTCCAAAATTGATAATTATACTCGTATAGTGATAGACATCTGTCATTTCTTGAATTAGAATATATTCTTGCTTACCATTAGTTACTTACCGTACAGGCCGATATGAATGAAATAGTCTTAGCTATTAGTTATTTAACACTTCTGATTGTCATAAGAGTAATGCCGTGGGGTATAGGTTAATAATTTGTTAGTAGTACTAAAAATATCAGTTGTTCCTTTACTGATGCACATGTTTTCTTTAAATCTGTAGTGAAAATGTCTGGTTTTTAAAGATTGTTTACCTCACTTTTTTTATCCTTTCATTCATCATTCATGAATAGAAAGAGAAATGATATTCTACAGTTCATGAAAACGTGCGAAGATTATACTTCTCACACACCAAGACTCATACGTTTGTGCCTATTCTTTGACGAAAATTAATCAAACCAAAAATTTACAAGACAAGAGATTTACAAGAGGGACAATGTTGTATTTTCTGTAATCTTCGTAACATAATGTCCGGGTGAAGGTGTCGGCAATGCATGGCTGAATTATGAGCTCAAATAGTAAATGAATGACCGACAGGTGATCTCTGAGATTACACTATTCATTTACAGTGTTTGTGACAATATCTCTTGCTTTCTTTGACAATATTTTGAATTGTATTTAGTTTCCGTCTTCGTGCTTTTCTCCTGAGGCATTAGGATGTTGGGCGCAACGCTTGTTCTACACTTCTTTATGTCGCATGCTCCTCTCTCTCTCGTTCATTCCCTCTCATTCCATTGACCCATTGTTACGTGTGAACCTTTCGCTTCATTTCAAGTTGTCCAAGATTCTTTCGTACTACGTTATCCCTAGACATTCACTAATGTATCCAAGGGTTTTGCATTCATTCTTCTCAAATATCTTATTGGCTCATTTTGTAACTTATTTTTTTTAATCTTGATTTGTACGAAGTTCCCTTTCCACTGTTTTAAGCTCAAGTTCGTTTAATGGTTACAAAGTATTCTACAAATAGTTTATATTTGCACTTCAGTCTGCATTAAGAGTTTCAATTGGTTTCATTGCCACGAAACTTGTTATCCTCATAATTATCTCATTCGCTCAGAACAAACTTTAGGTATGACCTTTGTAACAACTTCTTTTATCTATCAATTCATCCACAGTGTTATTCTTTTACAACCCAGCTTTTCTTTGTCTTCATAATTGTAAAATAATTATTTTCTAACGGTTATATTTGAGATTTTTGTGTTTTTCTTCTATCTAGCGCCATTTTAAGCACCTCCGTGATATTTGCGCACTCCTATTGACGTACTTTTCACTAACACTTATTCACTTTTTTTGTATTTATTTTTGTGCCCCACCTTGCGTATTCTGTGCACCAAGCACAATCAATCATAATCTTTCATCATTTCTTATGCAGCGATACATTTTTGTAACCAGTTGTCTCTTTCTGTATCTCTTTCTGTGTCTCTTTCTCTCTGTCTCTTTCTATCTCTCTCTGTATCTTTCTATCTGTCTCTCTGTCTCTCTCTGTCTTTCAGTCTCTCTCTGTCTGTCTCTTTCTGTCCCTCTCTCTGTCTCTCTGACCCTCTCTCTGGCTCTCACTGTCTCTCTGGCCCTCTATCTGTCTCTCTAGTCTCTCTATGTGTCCTTCTATGTCTCTCTCTATGTCTCCCTCTGTTTCTCCCTGTTTCTCTCCCTGTCTGTCTTTGTCTGTCTGTCTGTCTGTCTCTCTCTCTCTCTCTCTCTCTCTCTCTCTCTCTCTCTCAAGTTGTGCAGTAGTTCCTATTAACCTCCAGCACACATCACATTTCCCTTCTTCCCTTTTCGCTGTACGTTCTTCACATGAACCTCACGGCCACCCCTCCTACTCCACTGCTACCGTATTCGCTTGTTTCGTCCCAGTTCTCGCAGTTCCATCCGCAAATATCCCGTGCGGAGCAGTGCTTTGTGGACTTAATTTCCTCCGAGACAGACCTGCAAATGGCGGTCCTCCGCCGTGCAGCCGGCACGCAATGCAGCTGCTGCGGGGTGGTCGGTAGACCTGGTTAGGAGGGTTATTCCTTTTTGCCCCGGAATGAATTAAAAATACTCCAACTGTAAATATTAATTTCAAAAAAATTGCTCCGGCTCGAGAGTGTTTAATTTATTGTTTCAAGTACTCTAGTTTCAAGAGACCATGAATGAAGAAGAAGGAATGTTGCGTGGATGAGCAATTCGTGGATGAGATATTCGAAATGAAAAGGATATTTTTAAATGGGGGAAAGTATAAAATAACTGAGTTAAATGGTATTTTTTCACCATTTCTGGAATTTAACGGAACACAACGAATAGTTCCTTGTTTATAGTGCTCCGCAAATCAGCCGAAAACGTTCAGTTATAAAGACGAAGTAAAAAAAAAGAGAAAAGAAAAATCTGCAGATGGGGAGAGAAGAAAAGGATTGCGCAAAAGAACCACGAAATGTCCGCCACGGCTCGGCGGGTGCGGGGCGCGCAGGCCAAAGTATATGTGTAATGATGATTCACGTTACTGCACTTGGCGCGCGGCGCCGCAGTCGCGCTGGCGCGGGGTGGCGGTGGTGGCGACAGTGGAGGCGGAGAAGGCGGTGGCGGCGGAGAAGGCGGTGGTGGCGGAAGAGGAGAAGAAGGCAGTGGCGGCGGAGGAGAATGCGGCGTCGGAGGAGGAGGCGGCAGCGGTGGGGAAAACGGTGGCGGCGAAGAAGACGGCGGCGGAGGAAAAGGCGGCGGCGGCGGAGGTGGAGGAGAAGACGCCCCGGCGCAGGAGGATGGCGCGGCGAGGGCGCGGCGGGGGTGGAGGAGGAGGGGGCAGCGGCGGCGGGGGAGGAGGAGAGGAGGAAGAGGACGGACGAAGGCGCGGCGGCGGCGGCGGGCGGTGGCGGCGGCGGAGGCGGAGGCGGCGGCGGCGGCGGCGCGCGGGCGGCGGGCGGCGGAGTGAGGGAGGGCGGGAGCCGGAGAGGCGGGAGCGGAGGAGGCGGGAGCGGAGGAGGCGGCGGGGGGGGGTGCACGTGATTATAGGTGCAATAAGAGAGCAGCGGGCTGTGCGGCGCAGGCGGCGGCGACAGCTGAGGTTGACGGCAAGGCGCCGCGCTGCCATGGCAGAGGCGGTGATAGGAGGAGGGAAGGGGCTGCAGTTGTGTTTAATGGAGGCGGAGAGGTGAAGGAAGAGAAGGAATGTCTGGAGGTGATGGGGACTGTGGAGAGATAGAAAGCAGGAGATGGAGGAGAAAGACGACGGAAGGGAACAAAGATGCAGAACGAACAGGAACTTGCGACGGGAAAGAGACTACAACTAGGAAATTACGACTTCGGTGTGTAGAATCGGACGCGATTAGAACTGGGAGGGAAAGAGGATATGGAATAAAAGAAGTAGGAGGAGTTTGAATTTAGGCTTAGGGAAGTAGTGATATTGATGAACTACAAAATGTTGCAAGTTTCAATTTTAGTATGATGTGCAGAAATAGTTAAGACACTGATAGGAAATGTGATAAAAAGAAATGGAAACAGTTCAGGAAATTAGGATTTCGTCGTTAAAAGAGTGACTGAGGTAAAGGATGTACTTTTCAGAAATGGAAAACGTGTCGAGATGCAAGTAAGCAAAGCTAGGAGGAGGAATCAAAAAATTAATAATAACTGATACAATTTATTTTTCAATCGGTGTAACAGATTAAAAATGTCAGCCTCAAAGGGGTTCGTGAAGGATATACAAATTCGACAAGTAAGCAACTTCATTAACACAAAACCTAGTGTCACTACAAAAACATATACTTCCTCGCATTATTTTTAATATAGACAATTTTCCAAAAACTCAAAGAATACAACGAATATGAGACCCGGGCATTTTTGAGCAAACTTTGGTCTACCCGAGAAAAAAAAAATAGTGCTGCTAGAATTGCAACTATTTTCTTACATTATTCTAAAATTTGCCATTTTTGAAAATTCAAGAATTTCAACGAAAATGAGAGCTATTTTTTTAAGCTCCTCTTCTTCTATCTGCGGGGGGAAAATGTTTAAGAGATTTTTGCGTCTTTTGAGAAAAAATGTAAAAATGTCTATATTGTGGGCCAAAACACACGAAAATTACTCGTATTTTCGAATAATTAAACTTGAACTTATTTAATGATCCGTCTGTACGGAACAGATTTCATTAAGGAAATAATCCTTATGTTCAATATTGTAGCTGTAGGAACACCGCCTCCCAATTTATTTTATAATTTCCAAAACATTTGGAATTTCAATCAACACGAAACTTGTAGCAATCTCTTAAACGCCCTTTAACTTAAAACTTTATCCGATGGCAAAATTTGATAAAAAAAATTTGGTGCCATTTTTGGGAAAATTGATAACATGTTTTTGAAGGTTGATGTAAAATAATTTCGAAAATCAAAAACCTTTTCATGAGTACAAATGAGAGACAAATTTACATTATTGTAGGATCTAATATCTTTCATTACTTCACAGAAGTTCCCTATCCAATAAGCATACACTCATTAAAACAGATTTATGGAGACTGATGACGGCTCTCTAATTCGGAGTACTTGGGTAGTACTAGGGTAATTCTATAGTACTTTTATATCTTCGGAATGATGCCCTTTGTTGAAAGAACGATAGGGGCAGTCTCTGACTAGGATGCTCCGTAGTTCCTTTACGATATAGGCCAATTATTTGTACTTCAGGATCTCCCTCCACTGTCGTAATGTTGCTAGAGTCGACGATTGCTTTATCCACAAACCATATCCTCTTGTTTTTATCTCAGACTGTTTTGTCAGGTTTGTTGTGGTGCATTGTTTATTCTGTCAGTACACTTCGGTCGCAGTATGGTTTCTAACTGTTGTTTTCAAGGACAAATTTTGGAGAGTAATAAACTACATATCTTGATCAGTTGGGCAAGGATGATCCGCCCCGTCATACCGTGTCTGTTATTATAGTGAGAAGGACCTAGTACACTTCAGCTCTAGATAATATGCAAATGGTGAATATTCTCTCTGCATTGATCACGTGCCAGATAATCATCAGGGGGCACATCTGGATCTTTAATTTTACTTTGTAGATAATTCTTTCTCGCGATTTCTAGGACATGGATTGCAATCTCGAACAACTCAGTTTCGGGGTATGGATATCCAATACTGAGCTATTTGTACGACATATCAGCGTTGACACTGAAAATGGCGATTTTATACAAATACCTACCATGGATTGCCTCCTGCTTTCATAGTTCCATCTATCGCACGAAGGATAGTTGCCGGAGTTCAATTTCGTATTGTTTGAGGCACATGTATTGTTCTTTGCCAGTTATTTATTACTGTTAACACGTGTATTACGATTACGTGGTTAATACCATACATTTTTAAAACATACAGCAGCCCGTCATGTAGGACCATGACGAATGCCTTCTTATAGTCAGTAAAACAGGTAAGGAGATTGCACTCATTATATTATTATTATTATTATTATTATTATTATTATTATTAATAATAATAATAATAATAATAATAATAATAATAATATTACTATTATTATTATTATTATTGTTATTGCACTACAGTTAATAGTGTAATATGGAATTTAATAATAATACAGTAGGTATTTCTCATTTATGACGCGTATATCTGTGCAATGTGAATATAGGTCGCGATCCTGGCGAGCGTAAATTTTCCAGTGTCACATTGCATCATGCAAAATCTTATCTCATGCGAAAAAAAACAAACTACTGGTCCCTTGAGATTCCGCATCGAGCAAATTTCATTACAATAAATACCGAATCGCCGGCGAAACCCGTCAATCTTAACCGCGTGCCTCTCGCCTCGTCGAGCGTCGATTCGCGCTGCGCCGGCGGAAGTGCGGAGTCGCGCGCTGCCTCCGAGCGATGGCTCGAAAGCGAAGGGGAGCCGAGGCGCGACGCGACGCCCGCAACTGTTTTAAAAATGAAGGACGTCATTTCCGGCGCGGCGCGGCGCGGCGCGGTCGCGGCCGCTCGGGCGCTCGATTTCGCGGTTGCGGCACGTGACCAATTCCGAGTGCAAGGAGCGGCGCACACTGGGTCGGAACGAGCCAATTGCAGGCGCGGTACATACGTTAAGGGCATAGGTATACAATAAGTATATAAACAACCACACCTATAATGATATTAATAATAATTATATAATAATAACAATAATAATAGTAATATTAGTAATCATAATATTAATAATAATAATATTAATAATAATAATAATAATAATAATAATAATAATAATAATAATAATAATAATAATAATAATAAAGAGATGTAACATGAGATCTGAATAATGAGCATTATGCTAGGAAACATATGGTAACTATGTTTACACCATTATGATATAGGAGTATTACAGCTAGTTGCTGATATTATTATTCAATAAATAAAAAATACGCACATGCATAAATGCATAATAAAAAATAGTACATATAATACTATGAAGACGTGGAATTGAAATCTAGCTGGATTAGGAAAGCCTCAAAGTTCAAGATTTCTAAAATACTCCGGTGACGTATCTTCGGAATGATCTAATAGACTAAGAGTGTGTGTTGCGATTCAAGTGTATTACTTTTTCACGTGCAATTAAACTCTTATTGAAGTAGGAAGCAACCGTTGTTTTAATATTTGTGAATTCGGAAGGTCGCACGTACATCTGCGTCACTGACTCGCGCACATCTGAAATAGTGAAAAATATGTGTTGGTTGAAATAACGCAAATCAATAATATAATTAACATTTTTTTAGGACGAAGATAGGGGATACAATTTTAGTCTGTATAGAAATTTGAATAGTAGATATAAGAGCTGACGTGAATACATATTGAATGTCAAAACAAAGGAAGGAATGAGAGGTCTGTTGTGAGAATAGGAATATGGTGGGGAATATTCGGGGGGGTGTTTTGAGATCGCTGCCTCTGTAGATGCGGGGTTGGATTAATGCGAATATTTCGAAAATAATTTATTGAGTAGAAATGTAGTTCAAAATAACGCAGATTATCACAAGAATTAAATAAAATGGAATGAATAAACGTAGTAGGAATGAGAATCATTTTAACGCGGCGGCGGTGGTGTAACGGTTAGCGTACTGGACTGTTGTACCTAAGTTGGTGGTTTCAAACCCGATCGAAGCCGGTGGATTTTTAAGGGCGAAAAAATCCTTCATGCGCCTTCCTTCGGAGGGGAAGTGAAGCCGGCTGTCCCATGTTCGTAAATTTACTAGCATGTAAAAGATCCTCAAGCCTAAATGACGCCTCTGAGCTAAATTCAAATCGCCTGTTTCTCGCCCAAGAAATACCTCCTTTCTCTCCTAGTTGGTGAAAAGAGCGTAGCGAAATTTGCGTGGTCAGACGGAAGAGCGGGCCTGATGGCCCGAGTCTCGCCACGTAAAATAAGGCAAATTCAATTCAATTCAATTCAATCATTACTTTGACACAACAGCTCTTCACGTGCTAAGGCATACCAGCGGTGACTCGGCTTTGCGGCCATGGGTTAAGGGGTACGTGCGGTTAGCACATAGCCATCCCTACCCCGTATCCTGCTCTTCTCAGCTTGAGAAGTGGGCTTCTTCATCGTTTCACAGCAACAGGCACTGAGACATTGAATGGAAAGCACACAGTTAATTTTTGATCCGACAGGAAATTGAACCTGGGGTTGCGCCGAGCACGGATCCACCTGGTCTCGATATATTGTATTTAGGTTATATTCACCGAATTATATTAACCACCAAAAATTTCCGATCAGTGAAGTCGTTTGCTAGAATTCTCCAGTTAACATTAACGCAACCTATCTATCTACCTAGTGGCGCAAAATCCTGCTACCGACGGAACTCGAACCCTAGAACGTCCCGGTCAGAGGCAGTGGTGTGACAGTAGGTTCTTTGAGTTACGTTGCCGGTAAATATTCGTTTTGTTTTTGTGAATTTTAATATGAAAAACTATAATTTTGAATGATCTGTGAACTTTTGTGTAATGGATGTGAAATAAGAAAAGTTTCTGAGAGGAAGATGGTATAAAAAGAAGCAGAAAGAACCTTGACAAAATCCGCAAGTCCACCATGCACTAACGTTTGCGGTTCTGATTTGGTGTAGTAGTATATTGAAGGTTTGTTTGAGATCTCAAGCGTGTAAGTATTGGTTTAATTTGAATGTTACGTTTCTGTTTTTTTGT